CCTCCACAGCCTCCAGAGCCACACTTCCACTCCCCATTGGCTGTTCTTCCTCTTCCTCAGAGTCAGTCTCCACCAGGGGCATGACAGGGAATGATCTTCAGAAACAAGAGGAGGAATCCAGGAACTAGTCAGATAAAAGGGGTTGAAGCAAGATCATATAAAGTGTTAGTACCTCTTTATAATGCCTTGGTAAGACCTCATTAGGACTGCTACATCCAGTTTGTGGTCGTCACAATATAAAAAAAAAATATTGAGGCTCTAGAAAGAGTGCAGAAAAGAGCAACAAAGATGATTAGGGGGTCTGCAGGCTAAAACTTATAAATAATAGTTACTGGAATTGGGCATGTCTACTTTAATGAAAAGAAGAACTAGGAGTGATATGATAACCGTATTCCAATAGTTGAAGGGCTCCCACAAAGAAGAGGGGGTCAACCTATTCTCCAAGCCACCTGAAGGCAGGACAAAAAGCAATGGATGGAAACTAATCAAGGAGAGAACCAACTTAGAACAAAAGAGAAATTTCCTGACAGTTAAAGCAATTAATCAATGCAACAACTTGCCTCCGGAAATTGTGAGTTCTCCAACACTGGAGGTTTTTAAGAGGACATCCATTTGTCTGAAATAGTGTAGGGCTTCCTACTTGAGCAGGTGGTTGGACTAGAAGACTTCCAAGGTCCCTTCCAACCAGGGATGGATCCAACCGGTGTAACTACCAGTTCTATCGCTCTGTGTTGTGCGCTCATGCGGGAGTCACGTGAGTCATGCAAGTGCAATTTACGACCTGCTGAGCTGCCCAGACAGCTGAGCAGCACTGCGTGCAAGTGCACAGCAGTTGGAAAAGTCCTTTTTTGTTGCTTTTTCAACTGCAGCTGTGTCGCACAAAGCAGCTGTTGTTGAAAAAGCATGAAATAAAGGTCAGGTAAGGACCCAGGCGGGTGAGTGGGCCAAAACAGCAGCAGACATAGAACCGGTTCTATGTATGCTCTCTGTCTGTTGCTCTTGAGAACTACCGGTTTTACAGAGGTGGACAGAACCAGTAGAATCCCACCCCACCCTGCTTCCAACTCTGTTATTCTGTTGAAATAAATCAGTCCATGGCAGGAATGTAACCTATGCAAATGTCTAAGACAAACCCTCCCTATTTCAGTAGTATTGAACTTGGAGCACTGATAAGACTGCCTAATTCTAGGTATCCTAGAATTAGGCAATCTCAAACCACTTTCATACCATTGCCAAGAAAGTTAAATGGGTACGTTGACATGGTCATCAGCAGATGAATTTTCTTGAGGCCATCCATAGCTTAAAGTTTTAAATTAAAATCTGGATGTCCCTATTTACACATCTAATACTACTATTATATATTCAAAGAAAAATGAATAATAATCAGTTTCTTGACTGTTCTTTCTCATTCGTCCATGTGATGTTCAGCTGTTTTCCTTGATTACTTTCTTTTAGATAGAATAGGTAGAATTTATTTTCTTTCAGGTAGTATATCTGTTTGTAACTCTAGTTCTTAGATATCTTGTTTAGCTAAGAAAAACTGGCATACAGCGGTTTAATTTAATCCAATGCCATGGTGGCTTCCTTTTAACATTATTTTAATCATCTGGTATTACCTCTGATACAAAATTCCCACAGAAGAGAGGATCTAGAGAAGATGCTTAATCTATCTTCATAAATTCATATATATATATATATATATATATATATATATATATAATTATTTTACCAATACTCAGGGAAGAAGCTTTTACTTTTGAATGAGGGAACAAACACCATCATATTTACATTCCTTGTCTGGTAATGATGGAAATTATGTAATGGCTTTTGGAACCAAGAGGGAAATACAGTCAACCAATAAATAAGGTTCTGTGTGCAGTGGCCACATTTGTCACTTCATTAGCTGAAGATTTTCTTTTTTCTTGTCTCAGCAACAAAATTATAGCACCCTTAATTTTTGTATGCTCAGAAGTTCTAGAGAACTATTTATCAGCTTGAGAGATTCCAAATGTGTAGACTTCAGCTTTTAGCATCAATAGCAACATTCACGTTGGCTGGGAAATTCTATTAACTGAAATCCACACATCTGGAAAAAGCCAAGATTGAAAAACACTATTCTAGAATGACATATTTAACTGGATATTTTATAACAGTGGTTCTTAATTGATAGTACATGTGCTGGAAAGGGGACTTAAAAGTAATCTGTGTAAGACAATAAATCAATAAAACTTTAATTCTTTAAGTTGGACTGCAAATAATAAATAGAATAACAATAAGGCCCTTTTGAGAAAGGGGTCTTTTTTATTTCTAGCATGGTGTGGTTCAGATTCTTGCACAGAATAATTAGTGAACAAGATATAAGAAGCTAAGGGTCATCATTGAAGGCCTTTGAAATAACTTGTGGTGGTGTCTCTATGACATCAAGGGAAAGAGGCTAGGTTGGTGTGTCTTGGGTATAGGCAATACTGGGGTGTATTGATTTGGAATATGGGAATTAGAAGAAGACTATCCAGAAGGTCAGCTGTAGGTTTAGAGTTAGTTAGTCTTTGCTGGTGATGTGCTAATTAGCTATTTGTCAATCAGTGACATAATACAACAGCAATAGAGGAGGGGAATGTTAAAAAAAATCCACTTCAGGGGTCAAATATTCTTGATTCACCACTGAGTGGTTTGATAGAAGGAAACACACTAATTGATTAAAAAGATGGATGTCTAGCTGCTACTATTCAAGACCTGCTGTTAGGCATAGCATGAAAAATATCTTTCTTATGAAAAATGTAAGTTACAAATCTGTTGTGGCCCCGATTCCCGAGCCTATGCTGTCAGAAGAAGAAGACCTGAAAGATGAGGAGGAGGAACTGGGAATGCCTTCCTCCCCAGGACCTTCCTCTCTGGCAATGCCTTCCTCCCTGATAATGCCTCAGGTTTCATCAGACAACCGAGAGGAACAGCCTGAGATTAATCAGGAGGAAGGCATATCGGAGCAGCCCCTGATAGGGAGTAAAGAGGAAGAGTGTTGGCTTGATCTTAAGCAGCATCGTAGGGAGAAATGTGAGCAGCAACGTAAGAGGCATGGGAGGGTCAGAGAGTGAGCTGAGTCATCAAGCCACACCCCACAGGGGATAAAAGTGGGTGTGTTTTCAGCTGGAACTTTGTACAGGACAAAGTTTAATCTTACTTCAGATTTTCTTCATGAATGATTTTTGTGGACTGCCTTGTAATTTTCTGTGAGTAGATTTTTATTTGTTATCAGTTCAGACTTGGCAGGCAGAGTGTGTTGGAATGCCAAGGATATTATCAGTTCCAAAGAATTAACTCTGTGAAGTCTGAGCCAGCTTGCCTGCCTGTGTTTCAACTTTTGGGAAAGAAGAAAAGTGAGACAGAACACAAATCTATGTTCCACTCATATGATAACCTGAACCTGACATTTATTTGAATTGGGCTTTGTGGAAAAGGAAGAATTTTCTTCTTTCTATTCACTTTGTTTTCCCTCCAATATTGAAAGGCAAACATCCATGTCACATAACTAAAAAACTACAGTATATTAACTCTTGAGGCTAAACTGAATCTTTTGTTAAGCTTTTCATCAAAGAGCAAATTGTCTCCTTTACTGGAGCAAATGGCAGAGGACAATTATTTATCCCTGGCTGGCTGCCATATTCTAACATTCCAAGATGTTTGTGAGCCACATGTTGTAATTGTTTCTTTTCCTCTGCTTGGAAAATTTTGAGCTTCCTGATAATGTTGAATACTTATGCAGATAATTTTCAGATGGTCAGATGCTTCATATACATAAAACACGTAAAACACTAACACTAAAGATTATCTCAACTCCCACATCTGGTTTATTTCCTATAGATGCCTCTATGGGTTTCTATAAAGCTTTTCAAATGTTACAAATGCTTTCTGGTATGGAATTAATAAAAGCTATGCTTGCTCATTTCTATGGAGTCTTTTTGATTTGCAATTCAGGAAGAATTGCTCTTAGGATCCCCATGAAGGCCATTGTCTGTTATGCATCTAGCAGAACAGAGATGCAATAAATGATTGAAAACTGGCCAGAGGGGAGAAACTGCTTTGCCTGGTAGATATAAGCAAGTTTACTGAATCTGTTTTTGAAGCCTGCATTGTCTCTGCCAAATGGCTGGTGTGATGCCAGGGTGGGGAGTGGGAAAAGCAGCTTGTAATCTCTAGACATTTCAATTTCTGGAGAGGAAAGTTCCTTTCAGGTGTTCTCTGGCAGAAGGCTATGATTCCCCTGTATCTCATAAGAAGCACCAAATTATCAGAAAATGCTTTGAAAGTAATGTTGAGCTCAAGATTAAAAGCAGGGTATAGCAATTACAACATAGCAATCATAACCTTATTTATGATGCCCAGAATCATAGGGAGTCAGATAGCATACAGATAAAACAAACCAATGTATTTCTTTCTCTTGATTTATTGTAAGTGCCCACTCCAACAGATTTGACAGCTTACATCTAATACAATGCTGAAACAATTAAAAATACAGATAAATGAAAATAGTCTGCATTAATAACCTATCTGCTATAAATGCTTGTAATGTATATTTTGATAATCTTATTAGATTTTAAACTGAAGTAATGTCTCTTCTTTGTATTCCGAATGCTTGTGCTTTGTCAATCTGGGACTTCAGGCATTATGATTTGTAGTATGCGGACTGAATACCAACAAGGAAGTTGGAATATATGATCTACCTAACCAAGGTGAAAATACCACTAATCTTTTAAGGACCAGTTTTTGTACCTTGGGGAGGAATCCCAAGATACGGTGACAGAGTGAATTTTTAAAATCATATATTCAGAAATAAACAAGGTTGTTATGTTTGTATGCTCAAGTGAAAAAAAAATGAGAATTCAAATGCTGTACCTATTATTGCCATTATTTAGCTTCTCTGAAGACCCCAGTTGCCTCTGCTTTGCCAGTCTACTTTTCTCTTGCAAATTAATCTAATGCTATTCTTTTCTTTCTCTTCAAGGATGATTCCAGCTTCAAATAAAGCCTTTGTGGTGAACAACCTGGTTTCTGGAACAGGCTATGATCTTTGTGTTCTGGCCCTGTGGGATGACACTGCCACAACACTCACTGTTACCAACATAGTAGGCTGTGCCCAGTTCTACACCAAAGAGGACTATCCCCAGTGCCAGTCCATGCACAGCCAGTTTCTGGGTGGGACCATGATTTTAATCATTGGAGGCATCATTGTGGCTACTTTGCTGGTATTTATCATCATACTGATGGTGCGGTACAAGGTTTGCAACAACAATCCTGGCAAGATGGCCAATGTTAGCAATGTCTATTCTCAAACCAATGGATCTCAACCTGTCCAGAACGGAGTCCTGCCACAAGTGAATCCCAAAGTTGTGGTAAGGAATGAACTCACAGAGTTTAACTGTGAGTCGGCACACAGCAGCATCTCCTCTTCCTCTAGTTCTGTGAACAGCTGTGACTGTGATGGCTATAGCCTCCAAAGTGAGCAGGGCACATTGTCCAGTAAATGGAGGCCCCGGTCAAGATCAAAGCATCACAATATTGATCGGCTCATGGGAGCTTTTGCCTCTCTGGACCTGAAGTGTCAGAAAAAGGAGGAAACAATAGACTCAAGAACTTCCATAGTGGTCCGTCACTCAGACAAGGAGCCACTTTTGGGTCAGCAGGAATCCAAATTTCGCAGCCTCCTCATGTTGCCACTGGAGGGTAAAACTAAACGTAGCCATTCTTTTGACATGGGGGACTTTTCCACTTCTCAGTGTTGCAACTACCCCAAAAAGATCACAAACATTTGGACAAAACGTAGTTTGTCAGTGAATGGTATGCTTTTACAGTACAATGACAGTGACCTGACAGAATCAAAGGGAACTTATGGGAGCTCAGAGTGGGTCATGGAAAGCACAGTGTAAATAGAAGTTGCCCTCTATTCCACTCCTAGTCCTACCAAACATAACCAAGTCCATGAGTTCAAAAGGCCATAAATGTGATAGAAGGAAAACAAACCACACACACACACATTCAACCACATATTGGTCAATAAATATTAACATAAAGAATTCAAGTGGAGTAAAAGAAGTTATGAGGTTTATAGGATGTGTGCATGTGTGTAAGGAGATGGTGATATGCCCTCAACATATTATTTATATCTGTGTGAATGTTTCAAGGAATTCACTGGAAACATTCAGTGCTATCCCAATTTCTCAGTGAACTGTGTAACAAAATTGAAAGAGGATTAATGCTGGTTAGGAAGTGTCTATTCATCTCTTAGGATAATTGTGTTTGTCTTCATTTTCTCATTGTCTGAGATGAACATTTCAGTGGACACAAAACTAACAGTAGAATAACCTCAGCTGCCACTACATAGCCAATCTATCTGGAAAAAGAAACCCTGAACATACAAATTAACATTAAGACTAAAAGTAACATTTTGAAAAAATCTTGCCACTATTTGCCTGAAGATTCCCTCCTCTCCTGAAAAAAAAAATCCAACAGTCTACATTCACTGCCTTGCTTTCCCTTGGTATAACTTTTTTTAAAAATCATAGCATTATCCCAGAAAAAAATAATAATCATTGATTATTAATAATTGAAATGCTATCATTGTTCTCAATCTGTTTTATTCATCAACAGATGGCCATAGGTTATTAAGAATATAAGGGAGTTTAGTATCAGGGTAGAAGAGAGAAATTCAGTTTTTATAACTGTGGGGGAGAAAGGAGAGAAATGTTCCTAATTCTGATCAGGAATCCAAAAATCACTATTTAATCAAAACAAACAAGAAAAATCCAACTCATAAACATTAGAAAAGGGAGGGAGATCGATACCTTCATATCAAATGCCACAAATTGGCATAGCATCATGTCAGTCAGGGCATGAAACCTCCAGCATCACATGAAACTCCAAGTTTGATTATGAGAGTAGTCCTCATGAGCTCTGAAAATGCATTGTAGACTAGGAGGGGCCCAGATTCAACAATACTATATAATCTCTCTTTGTCCCTGCATCATGGTCTCATGCTTGTCTTTCTTGTTGAAACCTTTGTCCATTTGAGGCTACCCATTATGCCTTTTTAAGTGATAATCAAACACATTAATGGATCTGGAAGAGCTGTAAATGCACACATTTTGCCCTCCCCAAGCACTACTCCATAGCAGAAGTGAAATGTTGGTCTTTAGAGCCACAGCCTATAATTCAGAATTGTTTTCTGTATTTATTTACTCCCAAAGATTTGTCCATTGGGGAGCTCTTTCTGAAATTGCACACTATTTGTTTTTTTTTTTCTCCAAAGGGTCTGTGCTGAAAAGAATTGTAAAAGGGTGAAGAGAACACTCATATACAAACTCTGTTTTTGTTTTTAAGAAAAAGCTCAGCTCAGAGATATATTGTGAGATGGCTATGTATTTGATCCTGTTATCCGTCATGTTTCCTATTTGAAGTTTTAGAAAATGGCATCCCTGTGATCAAAATATTTTCTTTTCCCTTCCTCTTTTGCTACAAAATGTACAGTAAAAACAACTTATTGGGAAAAAATGAACCTTTCTTTTATTCATTATTTCAATAGTCTGTTCTGAATGCTAGAATGAATTTTTGTTTTCTTAGAAAAAAGAAATGATTCTTCAATTTGTATGTTCTTCCAAGGGAGTTCATTCCAGATAATAGAAGCAGATACTTTCTATCAATTAAATGCTTCCAGCTGTAAATAACACCAGCAACACAAAAGGGTTTTTTTTTTCTAGTAAGAGAGGTGTTCATGTTATCACACTTTATTTGATACTGCCAATATCTACATATTCTATAACACATATTCTCTATGTACAATATGTTTTGTCACTATCTTCAGTCCAACGGTTCACCAGCTTCTAATTGAAATAACTCAGGTTGAGTTACAGAACTTTATAAATTAAGTCAATTATGAAAATCAACTAGAAAATAGGTTATGGTGCTTACTAAGCAGGGAAAATGATTACTAAGGAATCTTAGGATATGTAGTGGTGCAGTGGTTAGAATGCAGCATTGGAGGCTAGCTCACTGCTCACTGCCAGGGGTTCCATTCTCACTGGCTCAAGGTTGTCCCCTTCTTCCCAAGTCGGTAAAATGAGGACCCAGATTGTTGGGGGCAATATGCTGACTCTATAAACCACTTAGAGAGGGTTGTAAAGCACTGTGAAGCGGTATATAAATTGAAGTGCTACTGCTTTGACATGTTTTAAGAGAAATACTGGTGCAGCATTGAACATAAAAAAATCCCAAAGAAAAGAATCTCAACAAGGTAAACTATAATATTTTAGGTACAAACAGCTTTCATTGTCTGCTGCCAATTCAAGGTGCCAATTCCAGAAGCTCCAACTTATATAACTAAAGCTGGCTTGGAATGCAGAGAACAATCATTTCAACAAGCAGGACCCAAGGTTGGAAAGTCCAATCTAGATCATGTTAATTAGCTATTACATGAAGTCAATATATTAGTCAATATTTCTCAAGGCTCAGGCTAGCATAGCTTGGTTGTAAAAATGCAGGCAAGCACTAGATGACAGTGAAGAGGCACCTAAGGTAATTTCATTTGGGGTTTTGCAGCTCAGGCTTATATGTCCCTCATCAAAGTAACCATCCATATAGGTTAGTGGTCCCCAAACCTGGAAACTTGTGGACGTGTGGACTTCAACTCCCAGACTTTTCCAGCCAGCATAGCTAGCTGGGGAATTCTGGGAATTGAAGTCCACAAGTCTTAAAGTTCCAAGTTTGGAGACCTCTGATATAGGTAATCCTTGACTTATGACAACAGTTGGGACCAAAATCTCTAAGGCTGAACAAGGCAGTTGTTAGGTGGAGTCACACCAGATTTTATGACTTTTTTGCCACAACTGTTGAGTTGTTGAATTACTGCAGTTTTCAATGAGTCACATAGTTGTTAAACAAATCTAGATTCTCCCCATTGACTTTATTTGTTGGAAACAAGCTGGGAAGGTCACAAATTGCAATCATGCAACACGAGAATACTGTGAATGTTATAAATAGATGCTGGTGGCCAAGTATTCAAATGTAAATGTGAGGACTGGTCATGTCACATTTTTCACTGCTGTTGTAACTTTGAAGGTTAGTAATGAATGATTGTACAATACCTTAATAAGTAGCCTTCTTAAAGTAGTAGTACTTTTTCCCCCAATCAATCAGAATAGAGCTGGAAGAGACCTTGAAGGCCTTCTAGTCCAACCTCCAGCTCAAGCAGGAGACCCTATACCAGTGACTGTACAGTCTCTTCTTAAAAACCTCCAATGATGAAGCACCTACAGCTTCTCATGGCTAGCTGTTCCACTGGTTAATTGTCCTCACTGCTGGGAAGTTTCTCCTTAGTTCCACGTTGCTTCTTTCCTTGATTGGTTTCCATCCATTGTTTCTTGTCTTTCCCTCTGGCACTTTGGAGAATAATTTGACCTCATCTTCTTTGTGGTAATCTCTTTCAAAGGTCTCTCAACCAACTTTCAAGGTCTTCTGAAAAAAGTCTTCTCTAACTAATAAGAGAGAAATTCTGGACTTGCCCAAGGGTTGAAGGACTTCTTCCACATCCTCTTTAAACAGATGCAGCACTATTCATATAGTCCAGAATACTTGGACATGAACAATTAATGCAAATATCTAATGACCCAGATGGTATAAAAGGAAAATTGCCTCACACAGAAGTTAATATAAAATAGGGGGGTGGGGGGGCTTAAAAAACTGCATCAGAATCTCTCTCTGGGAAAGTGACATTACTAGAAAAATGATAAGTAAAAATGTTCATGCATGAATCTTTAAAATCTTTCCTTTTGTTCCACCACTGCATTTAATCAACTTATCCGTCTTTTCAACTGTGCAACCAGTCGTAATGCCAGACAACTAGAAATTGCCTAAAAAATTTGTTTTTTATCTTGGAATCAGATGTCCATGTTTGATTCAATAGCTTTCATTCTTGTTTTCCTGGATATAATTTGGAATTCATCTGAAAAGGAGAAAACTATTAAGCTAGAATATTAGGAGGAAACATATAGCCCTCAAGATGACATCTTATGTCAGTTCCAGTGATCCCTCCTGCTACAGCTGATGAAAATTGGAATTCAGTAGAAATTGGGAAATATTCCTATTTCATGAATATTCATCATATAACAAAAATAGCATTCAAGTCCAAGCATTGTTTCCTCTCCTCTCCTTTCCTCCTCTCTCCTCCTCTCAAAGATCTATTTGTCCACACTACCACACCATAATATGGAGACTACAATTCTTATTTCAAATTAAGCAACCCTAAAGAAGCTATGGTCTCTAAAGTATTTTATTTGTTCATTTGTCTGTTCAGTTTTATGGCCACCCATAAAATCATCAGACAATTGTGGGTAGCTAGCAAGAGTTAAAAACATGAATACACCAAAAATGATATAATAATAATGAAACATACTACATTGGAGTCTAATTCCCCAGCTCATAACTGACCCAGTGCCTAGGGGAAAAGTCCTGTTTTCCAGGGACTCCTGCATCCCATAGGTACCACTGATTAATTGATGAGCATGAATTTTACAGAATGGGCCGAGATAAAGAGACAGAAGATATGCAGGATTGGCCCTGTGCATTGAAGGGCTTTACAGATGACAGTTTCAGCTTGAACGGCATTCAGAAGTCCAGTTGTAACCAGTGCTGTTCAACCAGTACTGGTTATATATAAGCATCCTGAGATGTACCCATATATATTTATCTATTTTATTGGATAAATGTCATAGTTCATTCTTCTATCACCAGCATATATAGCAAATTGCTGAAACTGAATAAGAGCATAGATAAATCTGCAGGGCATACATTTTTCCCCACTGCTGCAAAATTTTGCTACCTCACAGCATTGCATATAGAAGCCAGATCGTCCTACTTGCTTATCTCATCTATACAG